TAAATAAAATAGAAGGAAGGAAGAATAAGTGCGCGCAATGAGTACGCAACCTCCCGCCGTGAAGATGAAAGAGCTGCGCCTGCCAATCTCGAGGGTGAAGACGATCATGAAGAGCTCGCCTAGCGTCGACACCGTCGGGCAGGACGGCTTGTATTTGGTCACAAAAGCCACGGTAAGACACACTTGGAGGTTAGAGATACGTTTCTGAAAAGATTTATTTTTACACCGAGACGGCTTATTAATTTATAATTATTACTTCAATTTAATAAATAGCGACTAAAATATATTCGATATTTATCCTCTATTACATTCATGTGACATAATAGTTGTATATTTATAACAATATAAATATTTACATTTTTGAGATAAGGGGTTTGTTTTCTATTACCGAACTGGCAGCGTTAGGTTAGAGTTAATCTTTTTTTCTTCCAATGTGGAGTAAAAAAAAGATAAACTCTGAACTAGTGCAGCCAGTTCGGTAACAGAAAGCAGACCCGAGATCTTATAGTTTTTGAAGTGTCTCATACATTTGGTCCTTGCGCTTTTGACCCATATATCGATTGTTATTCAGTCCTGCAATGTAGTGCCATTATGGTGTTGTTAATTTAGCATTTAATATTCCACTAGGCACTTTGCAACTTTGCAGGAATTATTCATACATTACCTGACAGAGGAGGCACACATGCAAAGCAACAAGGGATCCTCTCTGGATTACAAACACCTGGCGGAGGTGGTGCAGACTAACGACACGCTGGAGTTCCTGCGGGAGATAATGCCCAGGAAGATTACCGTACGACAGTTCAAGGAGATGATGGAGGCCAAGGAGGCGTCCAACAGCAGCAGCTCGTCCGAGAGCAGCTCGGACTCGGACAGCGACAGCGACTCCGACACGGACTCCTGTTCGGACAGCGACGAAACCAAGGGGGACAACGGCAACTCGTCGGGTAGCGAGCGGGAGAGCGAGACCAAGGAGAACGGCGCTTGTCATTCGGATAGTGACAAAAGTGAGAGCAGTGTGAAAAGTGATAGTGAGGAGAACAATAAGAGATGAGAACTCGTTGAATTTCTACTTCTAGGAGACAGACTCCGATTATTTGACAAACCTAGATTCATCTCGTGTCTTTCTACAAAATTTTGCAGATCTGTAAAATCTATCCAGTGTCAAGATCATGCGTCTATATCAGCAGATCTAGTTTAACAAACGCAGTCATCAGTAGTGACTCAAAATTTAGAGACAGGCCACGAGAATTTGTCTCGAAAGAGGAGATATTATTTTTATATGCTCACGAATGATGAAAAGTGCACCACACAAGATCTTTTTACACATATTTCTTCTCTCACACATATTTTTGTACATATATCTCACGACGTTCATTATTCACGCATTCAATGTTAATAAGATCAATGTTTTTTTACATTAATCATATTTATTTATGATCATGCTTTAGGATTGGTTTTTTCATCTTTGATAACAATAAATTGATGTCACGATATTTCGTTTTATTTAATCTTTAAGAATCTTGAATTATATAACAATCATAGGAGAATAATCATAGGAGAATAGGAGAACATTGATGTAAACGTTTTAAACTTTTGTATAATACAAAGTTAGCGAAAGTAGGTTGCGTGTTATTTATATTAGCATTTTAAGATTTTTTTTTTTTACTAATCTTCCCTATAATACGCATGTTCAAGATAATGGAACGACCGAATACGCTTGGATGTTGTATTTAGTCTCGATGTAACTTTTTCGATTTGGATGTGACATCGAAACCATTCTCATTTAATTTTAGAGCTAGAAAATAGATCTCGGCTAACGCTATAATTAACGCGCAAATTATACCTAAGAGTAATCTAAATCCGAAGTCTAGGTCCCCGATTATGAGTTCTACCCCGATGAATCCGAAAGCGAAGCCAGCTATCACGGAAAATACAAATTGCGCGACAGCAATCAGTTGCTTGTTTATCTCCTTCACTGCAAAATAAAGTGACATTAGAAAGACATTAAATTGTCTTTTGTAAGCGCGGTTAAAAAAAATAGATTTAACAATATACAATATATTTACTTTGATACGCGATGCTGTCTTCCGGTAAGAATTTCCGTACAGAATCGATGCTCTTCGTCATCGCCTGATATTCTCGGGCGTTTTGCTGCGCCGTTAATTTCCGTATTCTAGCCTCCAGCTCTGGATTCCGTGGCGTCTCCTTTGGCGTCGGCAGTATCACGTCGGAATCATCGAAAAGTTCGTGCAGGTAAATCTTTTGTGTCGCAGTTTTCCTATGCTCTTTTAGATACCCATTCAACCACTTGAGGTCCTCGATTTTTAACGTGGCACTTGCAATTTTCTCCTTCTTGGATTTTTTCAGTTTGCGCAAGGATGCGATGCCATCCGGTGCACCATCCGTATCTTTTACATCGTACAAGATAAAATCTTTCAATTTCTTAGACGGATTTATCGTTACGGTAGGATCTACAATCGACTCTAGTGGCATATCTAAACGAACTCAATATACACCCGTCTCTACTTTAAGAAAATTATTAGGTCTGTATTAAACGCTAAAATACTAAAAGAGGCAACGCATAAGGTACAGGCTAAAAAGTTATTGTCATTTCTTATGGCGTAATGTGCAATTTCTTTTCCAAGTCAACATAGAACTCCTGTATTTCCGTTTCCTTCTCCTGAAACGTCTGGTCCACCTTTTGACACTTGTCGCTCATATCATTTATGAACTTCTCCCACTCTCTTTTTCTCAGTAATCTGTTTTCACTCAGAACGTTATCCTACAAAGATAAAATATACCCAATGTGGGAATCAATTCTTTTTCGCGTCACGAGAGATGAACGAGATGCCACAAAGGTTGGCGCACGTACACTGTCAAAATTTTCCTCCCTCTGTAAAACACGGTTGCACATACTCAGCGCGACATCCACGTTCGCTTTGAGGCTGGGCAAGTGGCAATCGCCGAGTTGCTCGGTGCGATCCAACTGGCTCTCCTTCAGCTCCGTTGTGTATTCAAGTATCTTAAACAGGCGTTCCACCTCCCTGTCGGACCTTCTTTCCTAAAAAAAATAGCAAAAAATGCAATCTAGGATTCGTACTGCGCACAGAATGCAACACTTAAGAATTAAACGCTTGACAATTGACATACAATAGTTTACAAAGTACAGACAGAATGACTACTGATGTCTGCTTTCATATGAATTTATGAAGTTGAATTGAAATAAGCATTAATTCCAAAAATTAATAAACTGATATATAAAAAGAGCTGTTAAAAGAAGAGAATTAAAACATTTTATTTCGCGGACAGGAGCAATTGCAGTTTCCATCATTGCAGTGTCTTTGTTTAATGATTAAGTTTTCACGACTCGTAGGTTATGTCCGCGCATTTAAATCCGCATCTTGGCGGAATATTTTTAATTAAATTCCAATCGGTTTTATCGCCATCGGCCATAAAACCGAGCCGACACCGAGCTCACGATCGCCAGGCGCTCACCTGAAACTCTCGCAGGAAGAACGTGACCTCACCCTGGACGAACGGACGATGGTCGAACAGCCTGCCCCAGATCTCGCCCGTGTCTACGGAAACGCGTGTGATTCAGTAATCAGTGACAGTTTGGTGATGCCTAACGTAAATGCGTTAAGTGTACCGTTCGCGCCGAACATAAACGTCCTAAACGTGCGTGGCGTTTAGGACGATACCGTGAATGTCGCACCTTTGATGACGGACGCCATGTCGGTGCCAGTAGAAACACTAGAAACGGAGTCGAAAGTCGAACGGGGCAGTGACGGCACGTTGTCGCCTGACGGCGGTGCGCCGTCACGTGACTGGCTGTACTACTGAAAACCGGCCGGCCCGACCGCCAGTGGAAACGGTCGGCACGTCGCCAGACGTCGGTGCGCCCGTCACGTGACTGGATTTACTACTGAACCGACCGCCGCAAGA